ATATAAGGAGGGGATAAAAAGAGAGGAAGGGAGGGGCAAGCCCATCTCAGAAAGAGAGGGGCTCCTCCTATTCCTGGTCTCTTTCTGCCAACAACCTGAGCAGAGACAGGCTGACACCTGGAAGATCAAAGTGATTTCAGTGCAAATACTCACAAACCAGGCATGAAGCTGGGGCAGGGACCAGAGAGGGCTTGGGGGGTGAGTGTCCAGGTGAGTCTTAAGCCTTTGGGATGACTCCTTGCTCCTCCAGCCATTAGGACTTGTCCTGGTTGCAATAAAACTAGACTTGCAGGGAAAACCCACCTGGAGATGGATCTGACCTAGCCCTGGGGTGTGGCACAGCTACTATATGGCAGAAGGAAGAGTGGGAGGGCCTGGCCCCACCCTGAGCCTGCCCTGGGCCTGACCCAGAGAGATAGTGACTTGGGAAAAGCAAGGTACTTGTAGGGGAGAGAGTGACAACCTAAGTCAACAAAGACTCCAGCTGGTCTCAGCTACAGGGAGGTGAGTGCATGGGTAAGAACAGGAGAGAATGAGGTGTTAGAAATAAGCAGCTGGGCTTTACAGGCTGAGGCTGGCAGTGTAGAGGATGCAGCTAGATTGAGTCTGGAACCTGTTTCTCATCTCTAAAATAGGCCTATTAATACTGACCTCAGGGATAGTGTGAGAATTAAATAAAGAGTGCACCAAAGATATAGCATCCAACTACAATGCCCAGCACATAGTAGGTGTTCAAGTAATGAAACCTTCGCTTTTTCCATGGATTGGTGTGTGTACCAGTGAGGAGGGTGCAGGCAGAGGTGATGGTTCTTTGAGGGGACAGACAGGAGGCCTAGGGTAGGCCAGAGATGACTGTAGCTAGGAGAGAGGACTGCTAGCTTTTCAGTTTGGGCTTTCTGTTCTCTGACCCTTAGGTGTGCCAGGCCCACCCCTTGGTGCACACATCTTTCCAAGGCCTTGGGAATATCAGCATAGAATCGTGAGTAGAAGCTTGTGCTCTGTAGCCAAATGGCTTAGGTTTTAATCCTGAATTTCCCACTTCCAGGCCGTGTAGTCTTAGGTGAGTTAGTTCACTTTTCTTGTCAGAGTGCAAGGCAGGCAAGGAGAGGTCAAGGACAAGGACCCCAGAAATTCAGGGTGTGTGTATGTTCATGCATGTGTGTGTGTGACCATGAGATGATAAAATGTGGGGGCTAGACTCTACATTCCATGATGGCAGGAACCAGGTCATGAGTGGGTAGGAGAGAAAGAATGAGAATTCATGTATGAATATGTATGTATGTGAGAACACCAAAGAGCTGAAAAATGTGTGTATGGCACATAAAGCAGGTGTGAGTGGGTGAGAACATGTGTGACCGGGAATGAGGATGTCTCTGTGGGAGGCTCTGTGGAGGAATAATAGTTTCCATTTAGTAAGTGCCTTGGTGGGCCAGGCATGATGCTATGCCTTTTATATGCATTATCTCATTCACCCCTCACCTCTGTGAATGAGGCATGATCTCCAGATTACAAGCAAGTTAACTGAAGCACACAGAGGTGAAGTGACTTGCTCAAGGAGACAGAGCTGATAAGCAGTGAAATCTGTGGCTCAGAAGTTTATACCCCCTGCCACTCATGGGGCTGGGAATCTGAGTTCATAATGTTATGCCTGAGGCCTTCTGAATCACTGGGCTCAAGAAGTCCCCACATACTGATTTTAGTCTGCTTGGAGCTTCTCCAAGGCAAGGCTCAGCAGGGCTCTTCTGTTGGTCGCCGGGGTAGACCTAGCTCAAAGTCTAGCATAGAATCGGTGCTCAGGAAACTTGAAACTTGAGGGAGGGGAGGATTTGGATAAGAGAGGGCCCACCTCATCCACAGATCCTGACTTCCTCTCAGGCTCCCTTGGAGAGTAATTTTTCCTTACCTCAGGGGCCTGAATCACTACTTCTGAGGCCCTGCTGGAGTGGGACAGAAGGTGAGGGCCCACAGTCACCAGCCTCGGCTGAGATAGGGAGTAATCCCAGCCCTGCTCCTGAGAAGGAAATTGTGTGCTATGACTAGGAGTCAGTAGCGTGTGGAGTGCTCCTAGATATAAAGATGTCTCTCCTCTTTCCTCTACTGTCTTCCCCACCCAGGATTAGGTGTTGGCACACTCAGGAATTGCTTCTTAATCCCCATGTTTTCACAGCATAACAGAGGAGCCTCATCTCCGTCATCCCACACCTGATCTTGGGTTTGCCTCCCTCCCAAGGGGCACTCAGAATGTGGAAAGTGGAATCCAAGACTTGTTCTGGGTTTAGTTGGGCCTTTGGAGATGGGACACTTCCTAAGCCTAGTAACTTCTTGGAGGACTGTGAGTGAAGAGTAGGGTTCTGGCCATCCTGAAGGCTGCTGCTTTCCAGGCATGAACCAGCTTTTAACTGTGAACGAATTAAGCAAAGATGTAAGCCAGAGGGGGCTGAAAATGTGTCAAATCACATTAGAGGGAAATGAACATGGGCTTTGGAGATAGATAACTCTCTGGTCAGATCCTGCTTATACTACTGAGTAGCTAGGTGATCTCAGATGAGTCACTTCTCCTCCCTGAGCCTTAGTTTCCCATTTATGTAAAATGGGGATGAAACTCATTTAATATGATTACAAAAGGAAATGCCATCTACCACAGTTATTGGCACAGAATAGGTACCCAGTACATCCTCAGGTTTTGATGTTCTCCATGCACTTGGGGGGATCTTTGTTTCCAAGCTTGAATTTGGGGTACCTTTGCATCTTGTTCTCATCTCTCCTTGCTCACACCCCAATAAGGGGCCAAGCTGGGCTCTGAGAGACTTTAGATAGTTCCTCCTCCTCTCTGTCTACCCAGATCCCCCTCACTCCCTGAGAGCAGGAGGGGTCCCGCTTCTTTTTATTCCCCCCTCAGATAGAGGCCCGCTTTTCAGCCAAAGAGATAATAAGAAAATCCAGTGAGAAACTCAATAGTTCAACCTCCTACTTACATGAGCTAAAGGCATGAAACTCTATAAATGGTAGAGAACTTTTGGTGCCTCAAATGGTTCCTCCATAAAGAAACAGCAATATCCTTGGCAATCCCAAATCCACATATTTTTACTGTGCTTTCTCTTATACCTTACACTGGGTCATGGTTTTTGACAAGGTAACGACATCTGTTCCAGGTCTGTGTTTAAGAGCTTGTGCCAAGCTTGTGTGTGCTACGCTCCAGTTCAGTGAGAGCATGTTTCAGGTGCCCGCAGTACTATGAAAAACCAGTAGGGGGAGATATTAGCACGTGGGTGTGTCTGTTGGGATCGGACCAGGGCCAGCGGGTTGGACCGGGAGGGCCAAGCTGTGGGATGGAGCCAAAGTTATAAGCTAGGAAGCGAGGAGGGGCGGGAGAATGGGGTAGGGCTGGAGACAAAGACTCAGATGGTCAGGCCAGGAGAGGCTGGAGTCGGTGTCTGCGAGTTCTGAACGACGCTTTTGCTTTTTGAAAAGGGGCCTGCCCCATGCCTTTCCTCTTTGCCTTCGAGGTATCTTTCTTTAGGAAGGTGACCTCCTGTCCCTGCTGGCCTATTCTGCGCCTTCTGACAGAACCGAACTCTAAATCTGTGCTCTTGTCGCTCTCCTCCAAAATCTGAAATTTCAAAGGCCTAGTACCTAGTGGTGAAAAACTCACCCCCACCCCGGGAATCCCGTACTTAACCCGTCTGAATCTCCACTACCCACCGCTATCCGTTTGTATGTTCAGGTCTCCAGGTCAATGTGCAAGCAGACACTTCATTGAAAGGGTGGAAGGAGGAATGGCCACCAGAGTTATACAGGATGCTGGCCCTGGAGCAAACAGGCTATCCTTGCCACAGAGCAGGACTTCGGGGCTCCTGTGTGCATGTAAAAGAGAATGAAAGTACTTTCTTGGGGTGCTTGTGACAGAGCCTGTGTGGTTCAGGACAGTGGGTCTGAGTGTGGACCAGGTACGCAGGGAGGAGAGGAAGCCGACAGCTATAGAGGAGCGCCAACTTCCCACGGGTAAGCGCTCTGGGAACTGGACTAGGCGGGACCCACCCTTAACCGCAGGAGCCACACATTCAGATTGGTGCCATGGAAAGCGCGGCGTCCTTAAGAGCTCCCTGAAACCCCGCCCCTTCCTGTTCGGGGGCGTGGTGAGGGGGGCAAGGACCCTGAAATGGAGCTTACTATTGGCTAAGAGCAGTAGGGTTGGCCTTGCTTTCGTGGGAGCAAGGGAGTAGACAGTTTAGCAGCAGAGGAGGGAGTCTATGTGCGCTGGATCGCAGTGCGAGGTGTGTGAGGCTCACATTGGCCGAAGACCCTCGGGCGCAATCGCAGGGGAGCTAGGACTCGCGACTTGGCTGCCGGGCCTTCCTACGAGGCTTCAGAGGCACAAACTGAAGGGACTAGCTCGTTCAGCCGCATCTCCCCTCCCTTTTAAGTGCACCGAGCGGGGCCCGCGTTGAAGCAGAAGCTGTCGGGGGGCGCGGAGCCCGGAGTCCCAGTGTGGCCTGGCGGAACGGAACTTGTGTCAGGGCGAGCCAGGTGGGAACTCCCGGACCGCGCTTGGGTTTTAAGGAGAAACCCACATCTTCTGAGGGGTGCCGATACCGAGATAGTCAAAGAGTCGGCGGCCGCTGAATCCCCAGAGGGGAGACCCTGTTGGGGAAAGGGTACGCAGTCCCAAACAATCTCGGAAAGCAGAGCAGAATCAGGCGGGTACACCCGGGGGCGCAGAGCCCCCGTCGCTTCTGGTGCGGCAGAGAGGTGAAGGGAAGGAGCCCTTGGAGGCCCCAGCCTGTGCTCAGGTTGGGGGCTGCTGCCCAGTGAGTTCTCCTGGCTCGCCAGGAGAAGAACGGCACCAAAGCCTGCGGAAGGGGAGCATTTCAAGGCCCGTGGACGATGAGGATGGGAGCCTGAGCGCTTCAGAGCACAGCGCAGCACGGCGGCGGCAAGACGAGGCGAGCTTTGCTGAGGAGGCGCCAGGGGATCCGGAACTGCAGCCTGCCCCCGGGAAGATGGCCCGGCCAGGGCAGCGTTGGCTTGGCAAGTGGCTTGTGGCGATGGTCTTGTTGGCGCTGTGCCGGCTTGCCACGCCACTGGCCAAGAACCTGGAGCCCGTGTCCTGGAGTTCCCTCAACCCCAAGTGAGTAACTTAATCTGCTCTAGTCCCTGGGGATGGGAGGCACTCCCTCGGGGTGAGGCCGAGCGCCCCTAAGTGCAGCTGGGGAAGTGTTTGGGAGAAGATCGGCGCCCCATTTTGTCTCTGGCTTTTTCGAGTGTGTTTTCCTGCGGACGGGCGGGGCAGGGTGCAGCGGATTGAGGTGGGGGCACTTGTCTGGGTTGTGACCCTGAAGCTTATGGGCCCTCTCCTCCATACCCCCCAGATCAAGTCGAGATGGTCACTCCAGGGGGATCTGGGAGTGCAGGCGCTCAGCGGCACACTACAGAACTGGGTGGTTGGGGGAGAAGTCAGCCCTTTCTGGGGCCCCTGAGAACGTGGCGGTTTTCGTCCAGAGCCCGGGGGTGGGGGCGACTTTGACCTGGGCCAGGGATGAGGCCGAAACATTGGTTCCTCGTTTGTTTAGCTGTGAAGGGACCTAGGCGCGGGACTCCCGCTTGGGGTGGTTGGCAGCGCCCATATACCAATTACGGCTTCTCCCATTTTCATTTCTCTTTCTTCCCTGGTTTGCCTCCCTAGCTTTTTGCTTTGCTGTTTCTTCTAGCCCCCCTTTTCTCCCTGCCGGGGCCTTGGAAGGGCGGGCGCTGCTTCCAGGCGCACAAAGGCGGCGGGTGGAGAGGGGCGGAGTGGAAGAGCCGTTTAGGGGAGGGGGGGTTTCAACCGAGCGCCCGTGTGTAGGGGGTTCCCACTGGATCCTGTGGCAGAGATTCGAGGACACCCAGGAGAAGGGGGGGTCAGCCTGGGAGGGAAGTGGGTGGGGAGTTAAGGATTTGAAAGATTCCTGCCCAGGCAGTCCCTTGGCCTCCACCCTATGTCCCTCAGACTGGGAAGCTGTGCTCAGCTTTCCCCCAAGGGGTTGGGGAGGCAGCTATGTAGAGGAGATCCTTTCCTTTTTTCCCCCCTCCTCCTTTCCCTTTATAACCCCCCCACACCCTGCCCAGCAACACACACCTTTCAGGGCGGTGGCTCACTGGTTTCTGGGCTGTTAATAGGGAGTGAATGGGGCTGTGTGGTGACCTCTGGACCTTTTTCTCCTTTGGCATCTAGGACTCAGGTTGGAACCTAGGGTCAAAATTGCTCTTCCTTCATGTTTTCTTGAGGTCTCACAGTGTGCAGACCTTCCCCCCACACATAGTAGTAAAGTGGGGGGGGGGGCCTTGGACTTGGTAAAATGTGGGGCCTTGACCTACCCTGTCAGTGCTTTCCCATTTCTATATCTGAAATTTTTTCCTACCCATTCTCCTGGGCTCCCAGCTAACTTCCTGGGCTCCTGCCTCCCTCAGACTCTTAAGTCCCAGGGCCATCTGAGTCCTGGAGTGGAAGAAGACAGCTTCTTTAGTTTTCTTCTCCTGGAGTGGAAGAAGACAGCTTCTTTAGGTAGGGTCCTATTTACTGTTCAATGGAGTAGCTAAACCGGGGTCAGGATAGATGGCTCTGTCTTGGTCCTGGAAAGAGAGTAGCAAGAATTTCTCCCATACCCAAAGCCAAATGGAGCACAGTGCTCTACTAACAGTAGGAATTCAAAATGGTCTGGGCGCCCTGGGCTGCAGAGCCTAGAAGGAAAGGTTGTAAAGCGCCCAGTTCTCTCTCTTAAGGGTAGAGGCTGGAAATGCTCCCTTCTTGAGACAGGAGAGCTGAAAGCCGCCTGGGGTAGCCCATCATAGGGGCTCATGGGAGTGACCTAATTGCTCTCTCAGGTCTCTAACCAGAGATAGCATGCAGCTCCACAGCTGGAAGGGAGCCCTCCCGCAGAGTTGAGGCAGTGAGCTGGGAGAAATAGGATTTCTCTGAGTTTCTCCCTTTTATGTGTTTTGAGTTTTTAGTGCTCTGGACTGGTTTGTAGGTTTTTGAGGTCTAACACCCCTACATCCACTTCAGGCTGAGTGCAGGCACTCTGGGAGGTGGGGGTGAGGATTGAGGATTCAGTAGGACCTACATGAATTATATCTTATAATTGAGCAGGTTTTGGTAATGGTTGGGGCCTGGCTCTGGTACCCCTGTGTGCCCCTGCCCCCCCTTCCTTCTCGTCTCAGGACCATGGGGGTGGGTAAGAATACAGGAAGGAGGCACTACCCTCAGCTCCACTGGAGCTCTGGAGGCTGCCTTTGCCTCCGCACCCAACTTCAGGCTGCCAAAGCCTTTTAAATGAACAGTCTCCCTCTGTCCATCTCCCTCTGCTTCTGGTTCTCCCTCTCAGGTCCCTGTTGGTTGGCCTTCTCTGATCTGCACTCACCTCCTCTCTCTAGCCAGGCTTCTCAGCTCTCTCTCTTTTTCACACTCCCTCTCACTCTTAGTCACTCTCTGCCTCTTTTTCTCAAGTCCTTTTGTTTCTCGCACATGCCCGTGCTCCCTCACAGGCTCATTTTCTCTCTTCCCTCCCCTCTTCCTCCAGGCTTTTGGTCTGTCTCCTCAGCCTTGTCAGGAGCTGGCAACACCCCCCCTCCCCGCCATCTCCCAGCACTTATAAACCCTGCTTAATTGCTTCCTCCTTGGGAAAAATATCAAAATAAAGAAGTGGTGGGGCTAGGGGTATGTTTGCAGGTTCCAGGGCATACCCCAGCCCTGACCGTGAGAGGGGAGCTGGAAGGGCCAGTTCAAGACTCCCAGCCTCTTTCCCAAATTGGCTTCTCAGTGTGGTAGACCCTGGGTGGCAAGAGCTTCTGTCTCCTTGGCCCCTCTTGTCCGCTTTGTCTGAGGCGTGCAGGGTGGGGAGGGGGGTTTGATCCCACTAGAGGCTGGGAGGAACCAGAGTGTGCGCATGCACTTGGCTGGGGGCTGTGATGGAAGGTCCTAGGGTGGCCCCCTCCCCCAGCCTCCTCTCCAGAGAGCTTGGGGCAGCCGGCAAACCTCACATTTGAGTCTTCAGCCAAGTCCAGCTGCTGCAGTTCAGTCTCTCAGTCCCGTTCTGACCCCTTCTTGCCCCCCACTCAGGTTCCCCCACCTCCAGGGAGTGGGAATGTGTCTAAGATCACATTACACCTTCCCTACAAAGTGGTGGGGGTTCAGCTTGGCATCCGGGACCCTTTGACTCCATTTAGTATGGGTGGGGGCAGCTGCAGACCCCAACCCAGGCTTGCCTGCTACAAGCCAAAGTATTGTCCCCAGGCCCCTCACAGCTGTTCCAGCTCACAGACCTGGGGAGGCCAGCCTATGGGGCCCCTCTCCAGGGTGGCTAGGGACCTGACCTCCTCTACTCTGTGGCTGATTGGCTACAGGTGGGGGCCTGAGAGTGATGGGAACCCAGCAGCTCATTGAGTTCCCTGTTCCTCTCCCTCTCCACCCCCACCCCATGCAGCCAGGCCTGGGCTAGAAGGGCCTGTGAGGCTAGGGTGGGTGCTGAATCAAGGGTTCCCTTTCTACCTTCAGGCTTTACATTGCTTCACCAGCTCAGTGGCTGATGATGGGCAGGCCTAGGATACTAATGTGCATCATGGTTTTCTGGGGTTGGGACTACAGAATGGGTGGCCAGCCAGGAGGCTGCTGGTTGCCATGGGAACACCAGGTTTGAGGGAGGTTCACCCTGTAGTAGGGAACTGATGTGGGGAAATGCTCACCAGCCACATTTGGAGTTCCTTGCCCTGTGCCCACAGAAGCCCCTCCTGGGTGTGTTGGTCTGGTACTCAATTTGGGTGGGGGTGCTAGCAGCTTCTTACTTCTAAATAGCATTGTTTTTGATATGCTAACTAATAGGCAGAACCTTGCTACTCACAAGTGTCATATGTGAACTCATTGGATGTTCCCAACAGCCCTAGGAAGTTGGAACAATAACCATTTCCAAGATGAGGAATCATACGCCTAGAAAAGGGAAGTGACTTGTCTACAGTCAGCCAGCCTGTAAAGATAGAGCTGTGCTGTGTGCCATTCTGTCCACACCATTCTCCTGCTGTGTACTCTATGAGATATGGGAATTCAAGGTGGAGTTTGGGAAGAGGCACTGGCTCCCTGCCTCTCTAGGTTCCTCTCTCACCTCACAGGTATGAACGCATTTGTCCTTGTGATTCAGGCCCTGCCTGTGTGGGATGAGCAGTGCTCTGACTTTCTCATTTGACTTTGCTGGGCCTACCTCTGAGGGCAGCCTGGTCAATTGATCTGAACTAGAGACAGTAACTCACTACCTGAGACTCTCCCTCCTAAGCTCTGAACAGCACCGTTGCTTCCTGTCTAGTCCAGAAATCGTCCTTTCAGAAAGTAGGCAATGAGGAAGGGAAAGTTAAGCCTCCAGTGGACCCTAGCATTGGCCAGGTGGGGCAGATAGGAGGTCATAGTCCAGTGTGGGTGTGGAGAGTGACCTCCTCTGGGACTCTCCTGGCTTCCCTGTCTCCGACAGTGCTGTGCGTGTGCCAGGACCCAGCTTCTGTTCCTGCCCACCCACGCCTGGGCGGGCACTGCTGGGACATGCCAGGCCTGCTCCTGCTGCCTCAGGGGCTGGGTGGAGCTGGGGGAGTGAAAGAGGAGTCTTTAATTTGGGGGCTCCCCACCCTTGCTGGGATGAGAGCAGACTTGAGCTCTGGCTTGGGTTCTGTCCTCCACTGGTCCTACCACCCTGGGGGGTGCAGGCGTGGTGGTGCTGGGGTCACCCAATCAAGGCTGTGGCTAGTCTTTTCTACTAAACTTGGACTAGCATGGCCTGGGACCAGGTTCTCCCTCTGGCCACTCTCTGACCACAAGTTCCTAGAGCCTGAGGTAATGATGAGGAGAAAGGAAGTATAGATCTGGTCAAACATGGGCAAGCTTTCTGGGCATAATCCCACATTGCAAACTCTCCCCCCTGGACATTGTATGTGTATGGGTGGAGAGGGGCTCAGCTGGACAAAAGAAACAGGGGCCAGTTAGCCTCTGGCAAGTCCAGGACCTTGGAGGCTACTACCTAGATCCTTCGGGCTTCTCCTATTCCAGAGTTCTTTCTTGCTATCATAGGTGGGAAGGCTGTGGGAGAGATATGGACTAGGGTTCAGGGGAAAAGGCAGATCCCAAGACAGGAGCTGGACTGCTCAGGCTGTGTTCCCCAAGTCTTTTTACTCCCTCGGGTGGCTCCATGGGATCCAGGGGCTATCAGATGCTAAGGAGGGAAGATCTCAGGGGTTACCATGACGACCTGTTTCAGGCTTCCTGCTGGGCCATGTCAATCCCCTTAGTTTCCAGAAAAGGGCTTTGTCTGGGGGTAGCCCCAGGCAGGAAAGCTTGACTTGATACTGGGGGCAGTAGTAGTTTTTGAAAAGCAGAGGATAAAGACTTTAACTTGGGGACAATCTATTCTACCTCCTCTCTTGCCCCTATTCCTAACCTGGTGAGTATGAGACAAGACTTTCAGGGTTGCTCTGTACAATGTGACTAGTGTTGTACATGTCTTCATGACCTCATTCTCTTACTGGCTACATACCCAATCCTCGTGGCCCCTTGCCACTTTCTTGGGCCTCTCATAGACCAAGAAGCAGTTTTTCCAGTGGGGGGGGGGGCGCTCAGAGTCAGGGAAGACAGGTCTCCTCAGGCTCCTCTCCCTTCTGCACTTTAGGGGAAGGTACCTTTCCCTTTGCCAGCTGCTATGCAAATGAACTTATGAATATTCATGAACCTGTTCACTGAGGTTGAATTGAGTCTGAGGGATATTGGGGGCAATAGTCCTCTCTTCTTCTCCCACACCTACCCACTATGTAGACATCTGTTTCCTCCGTGTTTTTGGGTTCCAGTTAGCTGGAAGCCTTGTGTTCTAATTCCATGGCTTCAGGTCCTGAGTGGCAATGGAAGACTGCAGATAGGACACCCTGGTGAGTAAGCCAGGGCCAGGTGATTAGAAAGCTGAACTGGTCTGTACCCCCTTGCATGCCCTCAGTGTACCTGTTGTCACCTACATGTAGGTTCTTGTTGAGGTACAGATGTACAGGGTTTTCTTAGATGCTCTAGGGGCTAATGTCCTGGGTGAGTTTAGGCTCCTCCGGTTGGCTCTGAGTACCTCCCTTCAATGGAAATGTTCATCTGATCATAGCTTCACATTGCAAGCCTGGGCTCAGTGGGTCTAAGCTTCCTTGTGGCTCTAAGGTGTTAGAAGTTGTCTAACCCTGCTGTCTGGATGGAACCAGTGTGAGGATTGGAAAGTGAAAAATATCTTGGGAAATATAGAAGCTTTGGTGAAACTTCTTTGCTTTTTATGGAACATGGGGTGGGGGCATTCATTTTTAAATGTTTATGTGTGCTCCCATCCCATGCCTGCTTCCTTTTTGGCCCTCTGGAGTACAATAAAGTTAGGTACCAAGGGGGAGACCTCGTGGATTTTACAATCCTGCACAGCAAGATCACAAGCCCCAGCTTGGTGGAGCATCACTGGACATGAAGAGAGGCTGCCTTTCTTCATGTCCTTCATCTATTTGAACTAGTTCTCATACTCGCCTCCTTGGATGTCATTTTCCTTTCTGGGGTTAGGTCATAGAGCTCCCAGATAGCCCTCATACCTCATACCTTGTAGTCCCCACTGTGAAATGTATCCTCACAAAGTAGAACCATGCTCTTCCACTGTCAGCTTCATTCTTTTGAAGTACTGCCTTCGGCCCTTCATTGTCTTTCTGCTAGAAGGTCTGTCCCCAATGAGGTGAAATCCACAGTGCAGGTTGTGATCCTCAAAGCTTTTCAGTCTGACCCCAGCTAAGCTTTTCCACCTCTTCCTCTACCAATGTCATTCACTGATCTGACTTTTGTGTCCCAGCCACTGCTGTTTACTCTTTTTAAATTAAATTAAATTTTTTATTATTTTTAATTTTATTGACTTTATAGGGATGACATTGGTTAATAAAATTATATAGGTTTCAGGTGTACAATTCTATAATATATCATCTGTCCATTGTATTGTGTGTTCACTACCCCAAGTCGATGCTGTTCACTCTTGCTGTGTGTTATCTTATTTGTCACCCAAGGCCCACTTTCTTCCCATCCTTTCTGTTGAATCATCTCTGATCATCCTATCACATGAGTTGTGCTTCCACTCACTGCCTCCAGCCCTTACTGTTTGAACTACCCCCTCACACATAACTATAGATAGCCTGGTGCTGTCTATTGCTAAAACGTGGACCATTTACTTTTCTGATCCCTACCAGACAGTAAAGTCTTTGATGACGGGGCCACATCTTTTCTTCCTATCCACCCATTCAGGAAACAAGGCTGGGCTTATAGGTACTTGGTGTCAGTATTTGTCTTCCTGCTCTGCATATGCCATTGCATCCAAGGCAGCACAGGCCTGACTCCTAAGGAGGAGGGCTCTTTCCACCCCCCAATTTATGAGGGAGGAAACAGAAGCTCAGGAAGAACAGGTAGCATGTCCAAGGCTACAGAACTAATAAAGGCCCTATCTGTCTAATTTCACAGTCTGTCTTCTTTCTCCTACATAATACTGTCTAGCTCCCAGCTCCAGCCTGCCCAGGCTCAGATATGGCCAAGAGAACACCATTTTTTTTTTCTTGATGCGTAGGCAAGGATAGAGTGATGAGAATAGATGGCCCTGGGCGGCTGCCCTCCCCCTGCTATTCCCAAGTGCCCAGCTTTCTAGAGTAGAAGACCTACCCAGCTCAGATGGAAATTGTCCATCTCCTCTCAGAATCTGGAGCAGAGGCAGTGTGGATGTGGGGGAATTAGAACACAGATGAAGGAAGTTCCAAGGGCCCTATATTATATGATCTATTTTCTCTGCTTCGGTCCCCTCTCCTCTCTCTGTTCTTAGGAGTGACACTGGTCAAGTTTGGGGATTCAGACTCTTGCATGATGGGGATGATATATGTCCAGGTAGGACACTGGGCAGTGGGAGTGGGGAGTGGGGATATCTGTGTGGAGCTGCACCTGGCCAGAGACTGTGCCCATTGTCCCTGAACTCAGGGAGATGCTTGTTCCTATCTCCCCATCATATCATGCCCAAGATTAGCAAGGATGGGAGAAATGGTATGGATCCCAGGCAGGTTGAGTTCCCCCAGCCATTGGCTGGGAGCTTTGAGGGGTAGTGGATAAGACATGTGTAGGTGTGTGTGTGTGTGTATGCATGCGCACGCACATATGCGCATGTGTGCAGAGGAGGTGAAAGCAGTAGCTATGAAGGAATGTGAGTGTGATGGTGCTGGGAGGAGGACTGGACTGCCACTTCCAAGGCAACACAGACCTGACACCTTGGTACCCAGCCCATCAGCCACGTCAACCCACTGCGGAAATGCCACATTAAGACAAAGGGTTCCCCCAGCTAAGCAGTGCCCCACCCTGCCGAGCAGTCAAAACCTGGCAGCCTTGCCCATGGGCCACCCCTTCCACACTCTGCTGGCAATGTGGTTCTCTATCCTCACCTCCTGCCCTACGATGGAGGAAAGACAGAATTCCTATTCTTGCCATCCCTACTCAGGAGGCCCAGCCAGCTTTCATTGTTTGCTCTCCTGGCTTGGGAGATAGCCTGAAACCCCCAACCCTGAGGCTGACCCTCTATTTTCTTCTGAGCAGGTTCCTGAGTGGGAAGGGCCTGGTGATCTACCCAAAGATTGGAGACAAGCTGGACATCATCTGTCCCCGAGCAGAAGCAGGGCGGCCCTACGAGTACTACAAGCTATATCTGGTTCGGCCTGAACAGGCAGCTGCCTGCAGCACCGTGCTCGACCCCAATGTGCTGGTCACCTGCAATCGGCCAGAGCAGGAAATCCGCTTCACCATCAAATTCCAGGAGTTCAGCCCCAACTACATGGGCCTGGAGTTCAAGAAGCACCATGATTATTACATTACCTGTGAGTCCCGCCCATCATGTGGGTCTCTCCTACTCTATAGCAATGGCAGCCTCTAAGTAGTAGTGAAACCACTCACAGTTAAGGCTCTGCCTGATATGGTCCTCTTTGAAGACTGGCATGCCCTCCTCCCAGCCTGTTCTTTGAAATCTGCCCCTAATATTCATCAAGGGCCCACTGCTGGCTCTCCTTGGCTTGAGTGGGAGAGCTCCAATTTGTGGTGTTCTCACTCTTATTTTCTTTGCCCACCTAAGAGCCAATCTTGGGAATGGCAGAGTTGGCAAAGCCCTTTGGGATCAACTACCTGTTTGGCTTTTCTCTTTATGGGAGATGCCACCCCAAGAGGGGGGTATGACTTCTTGCCTGAGGTCACACAGGGAGTTAGGGATGTGATTGGGACTCAGTTTGTGTAGAAGCCTCCCTCAAAATGCCAGTCCGATTGCTTTGTTGCTGAGCAACATTGCCCAATGAGAAGACATATCTTAGTGTCCCCTGAGAAAGAAGGGCCAGGGCCTGGTCATGAGCAGTACCCTTGGGGAGGGGCAGGACTTGCTATTCTGTCCCTGTGGAAGGGAAAGAAGTTGAAAGAATCACAGGTAGGTGGAGGCTCCTTGCTACTCTCCACCTCACAGTTCTGTCCTAAAGCAGCACTAGGGTTTCTGGGTAAGGTAAACAGGCCTGACTCTCCCCCTGATGTCACTGGCATCTTGCTGCAGCTACATCCAATGGGAGCCTGGAGGGACTGGAAAACCGGGAGGGAGGTGTGTGCCTCACACGCACCATGAAGATCATCATGAAGGTCGGGCAAGGTGAGTACCCAGTTTGAGGGCTCCCAGTTAGGCTTTTGCAACAGATGTCTCTGACTGAATGTGAGTTTGTTGGAAGTAAGGGAGGGGGCAGTATAGTTAATGTAGCTGAGGTCTGGTATATAGCCCATATTGGCCCACCCTAGATGAATGAGTCCCTCATGTTGGTGGGGTCCCTTCCTCTCACCTGTCCTCTTTTCACCCACAGACCCCAATGCTGTGACACCTGAGCAGTTGACTACTAGCCGACCCAGCAAGGAGGCTGACAACACTATCAAGATGGCCACGCAGGCCCCCGGTAGTCGGGGCTCCCTGGGTGACTCTGATGGCAAGCATGGTAATGTATGGGTGTCTCCCAGACTCTGGGACCCAGAAGGCAGAAGCCATTGCCACTGCCCTTTCAGGCCTTTTCTATGAAGAAAGGCAGGATGGGACCCAGCCTTAAATCTGCCATGTGTCCCTAACTGTTCCTCCCCTCCCTTCCCCTTCCTCAGAGACTGTGAACCAGGAAGAAAAGAGTGGCCCAGGTGGGAGCGGAGGCAGCAGCGGGGACTCTGACAGCTTCTTCAACTCCAAGGTGGCATTGTTTGCGGCTGTTGGCGCTGGCTGCCTCATCTTCCTGCTCATCATCATCTTCCTGACGGTTCTGCTACTAAAGCTGCGCAAGCGACACCGCAAGCACACGCAGCAGCGGGCACCTGCCCTCTCACTCAGTACCCTGGCCAGTCCCAAGGGGGGCAGTGGCACGGCGGGCACCGAGCCCAGCGACATCATCATCCCCTTACGGACTACAGAAAACAACTATTGCCCCCACTATGAGAAGGTGAGTGGGGACTACGGGCACCCCGTCTACATCGTCCAGGAGATGCCACCCCAGAGCCCAGCGAACATCTACTACAAGGTCTGAGAGCCCGGAGCGGCCTCAGGCCCTGAGGGACCGTCGGAGGGGACTGCACCTCTCCTTTCTCTTCACGCCCTTCCCCTTGCCAGCTGTGCCCACCTTTGTAATTAGTTTTGTAGTTTCTTGGCTTTTATAATCCCCCTTTGCCCTCCCCCTAGGCTTTGGAGGGGGTACTCATGCCCCCAGCCCCCATGCTCTTGTGCCTTCCCCCTCTGGCCAGGCCTCTGGGCTCTGTGGGGGTGCTCCTTTGAGGAGGGCAGGGTTGGACACTAATGGACAGTAAGCAGGGAGATGACCCCGCCCCCCTGGCCTTGCCCTCCTCACTCCCTTTTCCCCTTCCCAAGACTGTTTGTCTGCTATGATCACTGTTTTTAATGTTTTTGTGTTCATTTTTTAGCTGAAACTCCTTTTCATATGCTTTTTTTTTGGAAGAAAAATGGAAAAGTCAGCCCCTCTGAGCCCAGCCCAGCCTAGTATAAGGGGTCAGGGCCAGGGCCAGGATGTGGCCAGCTTGAAAGCATAGGATGGCCTATCTGTTATTTGGGGGTCAGGGAGGTCAGGACTGTTCTTGCCCATGAGGAAAGATGACAGTGCCTTTGGGCAAGGTGTCTCACCCTCCCCTCCTGACCCTTCTGCTACAAAGCTGATCTTGGCAATGGGGTAGTGGCTGTCACACTTACACACACACACACACACACCTTCCTTGTGGGATTCTTGGGCATCTCCTGCCTCCCTCACTCTCACGGTAATTAACGTCTTAATTGGCTGTTGCCTGGGGAACAGGAGAGCTGTTGCAGGCAGATGACCTCATGGGGGGTGGAGGGAGGTGAGGTGCCCAGGTGGCTATTTGCCCCGTAGAGCTGGGAGTTCTCCCTTCTCCCCCCTCCCCTTCCTGTTCTCTCCTTACCTTTGGCCCCCTTTGGCCTGGTGGGAGATAGAGGCCCAGGGCAGAGACCTAAGCAGATATAAGGCGAGGTGGCCTGCTCCTTTTCTGGGCTCTAGCACAGGTGGATGTCCCTAAAGCCAGCTCTCATTGGCCTCCTACTCTTGGGCTGGGGCCTGGAAAGAGGAAGAAGCTGCCCAGGGTTGGGCCAGCACGCCGTGCACTTTGACCCCGGCTCCTTGCCAGCACGGCTGCTAACAGACTGCCACTTGAGTGTGCTTGCAGGCACTCCCAGAGTGGCCATGGAAGGAACTGGGCCTTACACCATCCACCTTCATACTGCCTCCTGGCCAGCTGCCCACCTTAGTGCCAGGTGGGAGAGAGAGAGTGGAAAACCCAGCCTCTTCCAGGTGGCAGTCGGAAGGCATTTTGTTTTTGTTTCTGTTGTCATTTGTGTAAATACTAGTCTTTTTTTGGAAAAAAAATAATGTAAAGATGTTTTGTATAAACTCTGAATTATTTTCTTGTTGCTTTTTTTCTTAGAAAAAATAAGAACTAAAAAAAAATTAACCACATGGAGATGGGTGTAAAATGGTGTCATGATGTTGGAGAATGAAGTGTGAATGTATGAGTGAGTATGAGAGAGAGAGAGAGAGAGAGAGAGAGAGAGAGAGAGAGAGAGAGAGAGAGAGAGAGGTATTTCTTGTGCTCAAAACATGGTGGGTGATCTGGGCAAGTATGGGAAGAGGGTGGCTGTCCTAATGGAGCAAGGTGTCTCAAGCCTTCTGCCCCTTCTGCTCTCCTGCCCAGTTTCTTTATCCTTTTTTTCTGTTGGAGCCTTCAAGCATTTCCTCATCTGTGTCCTGTCACCTCTGTGGCATTAGCCATGGACATCCGCTTACTATGGCACTATGCTCAACTAGAGAGGGTAGATGGAGAAAGGTTTGTTCCCATGGAGATCTGGGTGTGTCCAGAAGTACTGCCACCACCTGGCTGGGGCTAGATCTGGGACCTGCTGGCAGGCCCAGCCCTGCCCTGCCTCAGGATGCCTGGGGGTGGATAGAAATAACTTCCCAAGAGCTGGCACTCAGCTGTAGCTCACTGGGTCCTAGGGTTGCTTCAGGCTTCCCAGTACACTTCTTAGCCAGAAAATCTTCTACCCATCTTCAGAGCTGGGCCACTCCAGTGTATGCCCTCACCTTGGCATACTTGGGAGCTTCTGGCTGGCAGCTGAAGTCCCCTAGCTAGAGCAGCCCTGAGCATGCAGTCTACCTCCCACAGGCTGTGGGTTGGAGAGTGTGGTGAGGTCCATAAAGAGGGTTTGGCCTCAGTCCTAAGGCGGAAACCCCATCTGGCAGTGCCAGGGCCTTTCCACTCCAGCCTGGAGCAGCCTGCAGGATTTGGGGGAGGGGGGGCATTCCCTGTGGAGATGGCTAAGACAGATGTCAGGAGAGGCGCACAAGTGAGATCCCAGCAGCTAAATATGGGTAAGAAGGCACTAGAGGAAAGTAGGAGGAGGAAGGAAGGGGAGGGTTAGTTTGTGATCCAGAGCAGGAAGCCCCAGTGAACCAGCCAAGGAACAGGCTGGGCTGTGAGGGAAGTGGGAAGCGCATGGAGAAGAAAGGCAGAGAAGAGCCCACAGAGCCACAGGACCTGCAGGGGGGAAGGAAGGGAGACTGGGCTGGAGCAGGGCTGGGCCTGGCTGGGGTGCTCCGGGAGCCAGCTGGGGCAGAGGCTGTTTATTTGGTTTCTCATTAACCAAAGGAAGTGCCTGGATCAGATGGGGCCTCTGTTGCTTGACTGCCTGCCCAGAGTGGGGCCCGGCCTGGGCCCAGGGTCTCCAACCAAAGCTGGTTCAGGCCAGATTGATGACTGTAACTGAGGCAGAGCCTGACTTGGGCTGGGTGAGCCCTTCCTACACTTCTCTAACTGAGTATCCTTGGGTGGTCCCAGCCCAGCTCAGGATACTGGCTGCCCTCATCTTACTGATGGGTGGAGAATGGAAATCCTGGGCTCCCTGGAGAGTAGCTATGGGAGTGTGAAGTAAAATCTGTGGGAGAGGGCAAAGGAAGCATGGAGAAGTCTTTCCAATGGCTCAGAGGTTTGTAACTGGTTGTTCCCACTTGCCCTGGTTTGAGCTCAGTGCCTGTGTAGTGCTGGCCATACAGTGGTGCTCAGCCACCTTTTGTGTCAGACTTTCCTTCACCTAGACAGTGCCTGCCACTTAATAAAAAATACATTTGCACACATTATCTCATTGAGTTTCTTAAACTGCCCGATAAGGGTGGAAGGGGTAGAATTATTTGCCTCATATTTGAGACAAGGAAGCTGAGACCCTACAAGGGACAGTAACTTGCCCCAAAATACCCATCAAGTGAATGGGAACACTAGGGTTCAAGGCCAGGCCTTTTACTACACCCTTAATGAACAGAAGTTCCTTGAGGGTGGGTCTTCACCCCACTCCTCTGTTCTTTGCCTCTTGTTGGGTAAGACTGAGGAAGAGTACTTCCTTGGGGATCTTGGAGAATAAAAGCTCTCCTCCCATTCCCTTTCCATCTGTGTGGGGCAGAGAGGGACTAAGCTTAGCTAGCTGGAGGCAGGAGCTAGGCCTCCTATGGTAGGGCCCCAGACCAGCCCCACCCTCTGCTCTCTTTCCTGTCCCAGCTGAGCCCAAGCACCAGGTGAGTCAGGGATAGAGGATGTTTCCCAGGTGAGGGTGGAGCTGCCTGGCTTCCTTCACAGGCTGAGCCCAGGTCACCAATAAAACCAAGCTGGGCAGGTGCTAATCAGACCTCAGTTTTCTGTAGGAATAGGCCTTGTGAAGCTGGAAGGCTAGGACTCGTACGACTTATTGCACTGGCCCATTTGTGCTTCTATTATAGAAGGCCTCCCTGAATCATGAGGGATGTGGATGGCCTGGAAGCCTCTAGCAGGGGCATGAAGGTGGGTTGAAGAACCAAAGGAGAGACCCAGTCCCAACTGGGCCATCGTAGGTTGGGCCCTTTGACCACCTGGCATCAATCACTCGGAAATCCGGCCCGCCTGCCTGCCTGCCTTGCAGGCTACTTGTCCTGCCTGGGCATGTCACAGTCTCACTGACACCCCAGCTAAGTCAGCCTCAGCGTGTCTAGGGACCCTCCTCGCCCATCTGCTGCTGGCCTCCTGTACAGCTGGCCATTGGATCTGGGGAGCTGGGGTCCCAGCTGGTGCTTTTAGGTTGGCTCCCCCTTTGGGAGGCTGCTGAGGTGGGGAAGGTGGGGAGACTAGCCCCCACCCAAGACAGGGGTCACAGAGCCCAAACTGAAAGCAATTTAAGGGCATGGGGGAGACAGTAATTATAGGTTCTGTTTCCAATGGTTAATTATCCAGCTGGCAAAGAGAAAGTAAAGAGGAAAGCTGGAGGTGGGGGTGGGAGGCGAGGAATGTGTGAAGGGATATAGGAGGGTGGGAGAGTTTGCCAGGGGCCCTTTGATACAGGGGAAAGAGCCCCAGGCTGCTGTGCTGGGAGGCTAGGGGCTGAGGACCTGCCCAGTTCTAACATGATTCTTTTTGACTAGGGGCAGACAGGTCTCTGCTTCTTTTGGCCTCAGTTTCCCTGTCTGGGTAATGAGGAGTGAGACTAGATGTCATTTATTCAGAAAACATTTATTGAGTATCTGCTATATGCCAGACAATGCTCTGGCCACTGGGGTATAGTGATGAACAAGATAGACAAGTTTTCTGCTTCCAGGGACCTCATGTTCTATAAAAAGCCTTTAAGTGCCCAATTGGTTCTTAAGGGTGTGTGTTGACGTTAATTGGAATGTGAGAGGTAGAATGGAGGATACACAGATGAAAAACTTGGGTTCTAAAGTTAGTCTTTCATTCATTCATTCATTCATTCATTCATCAACTTTTTAAAAACAAATTTTGAATGCCTGGCATCTAATGAGCACCAATAAATGGTAGCTTTCCCTCTTGAGGTGTGGTGTGGGCAATTTGGCTCCATGACTGGGCTTCTTGGGCACCCTTCTTGCTTTGAGAGTAGATATAAGGCCTAGCTGTTCCCTCATCACAAACCAAAGCTAGCCTTTTGCAAAATTCCTTAAACATCTTCTTCAGAAGTTATGCTGAGGCTCCAATCCCAGCCTGCCTCCCAGGTGCCAGCCCAGGTACCTAAACTGAGTTGGGTAATGTGCCCATGATAACTACTTCCCAAAGCCAAAGCCAAAGAGGTGTGTGCCCTCAGTACTTGCCTACAGCTGGGGCCCCATGGTCTAGTCTCTTCCAGCCTCTCTAGAGACCATGGGTGAGGAGTTGGTTCCTGAGAGAGGAACTTCCATCTTTTTCTGGCCAAGGCTCCTTGGAGAGGCCCCAGGGGGCTCTCTTGGTTCCAGGGTCCCAGGAGAAACCAGGGATATTCTGGAATTCACCCTGCAGTAGGGACCCCATGCTGGCTGGATTCTGTGGAGCAGAACCATTGTTGTCATGGGACTGACTAGTGGCTTTCCTAGCTACTTTCAAGCCTGCTCAGTAGAACCAGAGAGGTTACAGGCCAGGAAAGAGTAGAGCTACAACTTTCTTGAAAGCTTTTTTCCCAGACCAAATCTCCATGGGAAAACTGAGGCCCAAACATAGAAGGGACTTACTCAAAGACACACAGGGAGTGCAGGTAGAGCCAGACCTCAGAGCCAGCTCCCTTGCCTCATAGGCCACAGCTGCGTGCCCTTCTTTTATACTGTTGCTTTTTTCTCCCAGAATCCCCAGGAGTTTGTGTTTGTGACCTATTTATACACAGTATTTATATTGATAAACTCTGTAAGTTTATGTAAGGCAATTATAAAAAAACGATACATTATAACCCTGACAAAAACATGGTCCTGTGAGGTTTAGGCCTGGTGGGAGCATGCATGGAAAATGCACTAACAGTTCACTCCCCTCCCTGGGGTCCCCTCTCCTGTGGCATTTCATACAGCTCTGAAGTCACTTACTGGCACAATAGCTTCAAGATTTCTGTTAGAGCCAGATGCGCTGATTAGAGTACCAGACCCACAATTGGGCATCTCAAGGCTGAGCAGGGCATTAATTGTAGTGTGTGGTTCCACCTTCCCTTAGAGCCAGTGATGCAGCTTCCTGTGCACACCTTCAGGGCTGCCTCCCTCCCCCATTCAGGCAGCCAGGCCTTTCTGGCCAGCCTGACAGTTAGATGCCCTTGCTCTGTCTTCAGCTCCCCTGCACACACTAATAGCCATGGCACTAACATGCTTTCACATGCAAATTGCTATGGAATTCTCAGCCTTTGCTGGTGCCCCAGCCCCCAAGGCTTCCCCCTGGGCAGATTCAGAGAAGAGAATGGAATCTTTCAAGCTGTTAGGATGTTTAGAGACCTTCTAGTCCAGCCCCCTTATTGGATGGATGGGAAAACTGAGGCCCAGAGAAGGGAAGAAGAAACTGCCTACAGTCACATAGAGAGTTCACTGGGACTGGCCCTCACCCAGGTTTTCTGACT